CCATTTCCCCTTCCACCATTTTAGTCGAAACACTCACAGTGGCCTTAGGCCCAACATCCGTTACAGAGGGCTGGATCTTTTTGCTAATTAAGAAGTTGAACCAAGACAATCCTAAAAAATAGTCAATTCCTCTGCAAAAATAATTTGTGCATTTTCTGCTCAGCCATGGCACATTCATCCTTCTCTTCAAACCATAAATGTCAAGCATTGTGGAAAGTTTTAGTTTTAAAATTTTTGAATGTTTTTATGAATGCCATGCAACAGGACTACTGTGGCAAATTCGCATGCTAGCCACAGTGTCAAAGGTGGGTGTGCATTCACTGGGTAAGTCTGTTTCTGAAAATCATCTGTGATGAAATCATAAAATCCCCAAAGACCACTTAAGCCAGTGCTTCCCAAATATGGTTGCACATCAAAAGCATACAGGGAACTTAAAAATTTTTGGAGCCCCAACCAACACATAATAATTTAGAATCTTTGAAGGTAGGCCCAGGAAGATTATAATTTTTTCTTTTTGAAGCTCTCCAGCAATTACGATGCTTAGCTAAATGTAGTTCACTCCTTATCTGGTACTTCCCTCTACAGTATTTTGCCAAATGGTTATCCGTCCCTCCTTGTACTTCTCCAGTGATGGACGGCTCACTGCCTTTCAAGGCAGTCCCTCCCATCCATCCTTAGCCAGCTGTGTTTTGTCAGGAAGTTCTTCCTCTGCCCCTTTTAACTTCCCCCTCACTGGTCTGGCTCTGCCTTCTGGGACCCTGCAGACCACATCTGCTTTTGCTCTTCAGAGATTAGAGGGTGCAACCTTGTCCCTTGAGTGCTAAGGGGTGAGCATCCTCAGTTCCTTCAGCTGTTCCCCTTAGGATGCAGCCTCCAATCTCTCCCCATGGGAGTCACTTCCTGTTTGCCTCTGGCCTTTCCCACTTGCTGTGGCTTTCCACTACGGTCGGACCACATGAAGGCTAACATCTGACATGCAGTCATTGCTTCCATAGAAGTATGTTAATGATTGATTGAATAATCATTAAGTCAGTCCACCACTGAGTGCCATTCCAAATGACCAAGGAGTGCTAGGCTGGCCATGTGCTATAGGGGAAGCAGAAGGGACTACACAGATGCTGGGGAAACCAGAGGAAAACATGAGCACAGATGTGGCAGGATGTAAGCTATAGGGATTTTAGTGAACAACTAAGATATGCAGCCAGGACTGTGAACGTCTTAAGGATGACACAGTAACAAAACATTCCGTAGAGATACAGCTTAAGGAGAGAAGCCTGTGAAGCAGTCAGGTTCAAGCAGGAAGATCTGAACAATCTAAATATGTGGAAAGGCAGAGATTTAATACAGAGAATTGGGTGCTGACAGAGTTGCTGGAGGGGCCAGCGGGAGAAGCAGGCCTTCGGTAGTCCTTCAGGCCTGACTTCCAGACCAAGATGGACAGTGGCCCACCAGCCTTGTCACTCTCTGAGGCCACCTCTGGAGCTATTTAGCTCAAGACACACCCCGGCAGCCATGGTTCAAAGAGCAGGTAGCCGGAGTCGAGCTGCAGCCACAGATGCCACTCCACACTCAAGAAGCTGGGAAAGGGACTAAGAATGCTTATTGCAGAAAATCCTCACATTTCTGCTACCATGCTAAGTGAGGTCCCAAAGGGGCAGGACTGTACCCTCCACCTTCCACATATGGCAATGGTAATAGACAGCACCTAGTTCACATCCAGGACTCTAGCTGCAAACAAGGCTGGAGACTTACCTCTTATCTTTGCAACCTCTTTGACCAGAAGGAGGGTGCAGTGGAGGTGGAGTGGGTGAAAGAGGCGTGTCCAGGATGTCTGCCTTAGCATCCTTTCTAGCAACAACAAGATGGAGACAATTAAATGTCCTTCAATAGTCCTCCTGACCATGGAATTCTGTGCTACCATGGGGAGGATGATGTCTTGTAATTAATTAGTGAAATAAGAAAAGGTTCATAATAAATCACTAAGTTAAAAAGAAAAAAAGCAGGTGGCAAAATAGAGGTCGGCCTATGATTTTATTTCAATTAAAAAAAAAAATTGAAAAACGCAGAGGAAAAAAATTCCAGAAAGACAAATGGCAACTGTTGGGTAAAAGGATTGAAGATAATTTTTTTTTTCTTTCTTTATCCTCTTTTGTTTTCCAAGCTTTCTACAGCGTGCATATAATCTTTTTCTCCTTAGGACAAAAAAGAAAAAAAATGCATTTTAAAAATGCACAAATATGAAATCTTCTAACAACTGGGGAAGAGCACTGAAGGTGGCAGACAGTCAGAAATTAGTGAACCAAAGAAATAAAACAGGGGAGGCACAAAAGAGGGTAAGGAGAAGCTGTGGATGGCAACTTAACGATATGCGACGTGCGAGAGGGAGAAAAGCAAAATATAATTGGGGCCCAGTCTCCAACTGCTGTGTGACCTGGGGAAGGCACGCGCCCCCTGGATCTTTGCACGCGCGCCCTCTGGATCTTTGCACGCGCCCCCTGGATCTTTGCACGCGTCCCCTGGATCTTTGCACGCGCCCCCTGGATCTTTGCATTCCCAAACAGGCACTTTGAGAGGGAGAGTGCGCTTGCGTGGCGCAGGATGACCAGGGTAGGGCGTGGTGCTCCTCCCCTCACCGAAAACCCGGACCCTCCCGGGCCTAGACGGAGGCGTGGCCTTGGCGTTGAGGCCAGAGACCGCGGTACCCCGGGCTCAGGCGGAGCCTCCAGAGGCAGCTGAGCCTCTGAATTGCGTGGAGAGGCGGGCCCTGCGGCGAGGACCCGGCGAGAGGCGAGGCTAGACCTGGGAGAGCCTGAACCTGCACCTGAGCGCGAGCCGGCACTTGTCGCAGGTAACGAGCGCCTTTCTCCCCTCGTACCCCCGGGAAAGGCCGCAATTCCCGTCCGCGATGGAGGCGAAGGCTTCCTCTCTAAGCCTCGGCTTCCCCATCTGGGGCTGACCCTTTTACCCTGTGTGCACTGAGGACTCTCTCCACGCTTTCCACTTCTCCTCCCGCACCCAGGTCCTGAGGTGGCGCCTGATGGGCCCCGAGGATGTAGACACCTACACGCGCCCCACCCCCCGCCACGCTCCTCCCACCAAACTTTCCCTGTTATCTCGAACTCAGCTGTCTTGCCCACCCAGCCCACTCCAGCCAAGGGCTCCTGACCATAGCCAAGAGGCCAGGAGGCGCGCTTCCTCCCGCAGAAAGGGTGAGGTGGGTGCCACCCAGTCCTCCCTCGATCATTCGGAAGGTCTGGTCCTTGACACAGTGGGCACTAATACAGGGAACCGAAGAAATTGCCCTAGTCAGGAGGAAACAAAGCTAGGGCTGTAGGAACCTCAGCTAAGGCTCCTAGTACTTGCTTGTTATGTGTCCCCAGTGAGCCCCTGAACCTCTCTGATCGCTATCCGTCTTCCAGAATGGGGGTCATCATCTGCTCTGATAGCCCCAGGGCTGCTGGAAGTTTTTGTGAGTTAAGTGCTGAGGTGGCCTGGAAACTGTAAAGCCTGGTGCACCAGTGAGCAGTGATCTATCTATATGCAAGTGGAGGTGCCAGGGCAGTCCTCATATAGGCCCCGAGAGTAGGAACAGCCTTAGCTTGGCATGGAAGGTTTCCCACCCTTGGTCTGTGACCACCCATCCTGCCTGTTGAGCTCCTCTGCTACCACCATGGATTAGTGACTGCTTCTTACATCTACCTCCCAGTGGACCACTCCCTCCTCAGACCCGGCCTGTTGGACCCGAGGCTGCGTCTGTCCCAGCATGGGGCAGAGCCCTGAGCAGAGTAGAACCCAAGTGCACCCCTGACAGGTCTGCTGGCTAAACTTCCCCCCAAGGGAGGGCTTTCCTGGACGGCATTGATTTGTATGGAGCTGAGGACCTGGCTGGGTGCTTTTCTAGATGAGTTCTTCGCTCTTTTTCCTGCCCACTGGCAAAGGGTAGGGAGTGGGGCGGGGTAGGCAGGTGCAATTCCTTTTTGATGCTGAGTAGGGCAAGACTCAAAGTGAGAGAGCAAAGGCAGAGTGGTTGTTGTTCTGGCTGGAGAGTGACCGCTTCAAAAAATCTAGAAACTTTGTACACCATTTAAATTTTATTGAATATATTTTTTATATTGTTTACATTTTACAGTTGCTGTTTTAATCATCTACACAGTTTTCAGAGTTATAGTCAAAAATCAACAGGCCTTTCTTTCCAGTTGCTGATGGACTTGACGCACTTCTGGGAAGCTGAGATCTGTGCTTAGGGGCCTGGGCTAGGCTGGTTTCTGAGGGTGTTGCCAGCTTTTTATGCTTGACTCCATTCAGCATAGCTCCCTGAGGCATTTCACATATGAGGAAACTGAGGCACAGAGGTGAAGTGATGTAAGCCCCTCTCTAAGAGAACAGCTCTGAGTCTCTTCAGTGTCTACTCCATTCTTAGGTCAATTAAAGAGCCATTGTGGAAATTTTGATGTGTCCTCAATACAGCATTTAATAACTATCTATTGAGCAGCTGCTCTGTAGCAAGCTTTATTCCAGGGAGCAGAGACATAGCAATAAACAAAACAGGGAGGAAAAATCCTGCTCTCATGGAGCTGATGTTTGATTGGGGAGAGACGGACAATAACGTATAAGCATGTAAATATACTATTTGATATGTCAGATGGGGAAAAATGAAGCATGGGACAGCGGATAGAGAGTGCTGGAAGTGAGGAAAGTTACTATTTTATAAAGGGTGGTCAAGGAAGGCCTTGCTGAGAAAGTGACATTTGAGTAAAGACTCAGAAGAGGTGAGGGAATGAGCCGGAGGATAGATGGGGCATGATGGACTTAGGTCAGAGAGTTCTTCAGGGCTTTTGTACACCTTACAATCCATGTTTGTTTGTTTTTTTTCGAGATGACACCACTTTATGCTAGAGTCTTGGAACATCGGGGCTGGTGGGCCTTTGGGGCCTTTGTGGTACCTGGCCCCCTTTCACCTGTCCATCCTGGTTCCTCTGTCCATCTCCAGAGTATTCAGCATGCTGCGTTTTCTGATGCCCCGGCTGCTTTGCCTGAGCGGCAGGACGGCCCCGTACTCCGCAGCAGCTGCCCTCCCAAGCCCGGTCCAGAACCCAGACATCCGCTACAACGAGTTAACAACGAGTGGCAAGATTCAGTCAGCAAGAAGACCTTCCCAACTGTCAACCCTGCCACGGGAGAGGTCATAGGCCACGTGGCTGAAGGGGACTGGGCAGATGTGGATCGGGCAGTGAAAGCGGCCTGGGAGGCCTTCCGCGGAGGGTCTCCATGGCACGGGATGGATACCTCCGAGCGGTCTGGCTGTTGAACCGCTAGACTGACCTAGTAGAGCGGGATCGTTTCTACTTGGCCTCACTGGAGACCTTGGATAATGAGAAGCCTTTCCAGGAGTCTTATGTCTTGGACCTGGATGAGGTCATCAAGGTGTACTGGTATTTTGCAGGCTGGGCTGACCAGTGGCATGGCAAGGCCTTCCCCATGGACGGCGAGCATTTCTGCTTTACTCGGCATGAGCCTGTTGGTGTCTGTGGCCAGATAATCCCATGGAATTTCCCCTTGGTCACGCAGGGCTGGAAGCTCGCCCTGGGGCTTGCCACCGGCAATACAGGGGTCTTGAAGATCGCACAGCAGACCTCCCTCTCTGCCCTGTATGTGGCCTCCCTCATAAGGAGGTGGGATTCCCCACTGGGGTGGTGAACATCCTCACAGGCTATGGCAACAACAGGAGGAGCAGCCATTGCCTACCACATGGATATTGACAAAGTTGCCTTCACTGGCTCCACTGAGGTGGGCCACCTGATCCAGAAGGCAGCCGGAGAGTCCAACCTCAAGAGAGTCACCCTGGAGCTGGGTGGGAAGAGCCCCAGCATTGTGTCGGCTGATGCTGACATGAGTCACGCTGTGGAGCAGGGCCACAAAGCCCTCTTCAATATGGGCCAGTGCTGCTGTGGGGGTCCTGGACCTTCACTGAGGAATCCATCTATGATGAGTTTCTCGAGAGAACCGTAGAGAAAGCTGAGCAGAGAAAAGTTGGGAATCTCTTTGAGCTGGACACCCAGCAGGGACCCCAGGTGGACAAGGAGCAGTTTGAACGAATCCTCGGATACATCTAGCTTGACCAGAAGGAGGGGGCAAAACTTCTCTGCGGTGGGGAGTGTTTTGGGGAGCATGGTTTCTTTATCAAGCCAACAGTCTTTGGTGATGTGCAGGAGGACATGAGGATCACCAAGGAGGAGATCTTTGGGCCTGTGCAGCCCCTGTTCAAGTTCAAGAAGATAGAAGAGGTGATTGAGAGGGCCAACAACACCAGGTATGGCCTGGCTGCCGCTGTGTTCAGGACAAGGCCACGTACTTCACACTGGCACTTTAAGCTGGGATGGTGTGGGTGAACACCTATAACATTGTCACCTACCACACGCCGTTTGGAGGCTTTAAGGAATCTGGCAATGGGAGGGAGCTGGGGGAGGATGGGCTTAAGGCCTACACGGAGGTGAAGACAGTCACCATCAAGGTTCCACAGAACTCGTAAGACTGTCCACCATGGAGACCCAACCCCAGTCCGAGGATTCCACAACTACCTGCCAGTGGTTGCCAAACATTTTTTTAGCCATGGACCATTTATTTGTTCCAAATGAACTCTTAGACTGAAACAAATGAAACAATTAAAATCAGAGCTGCTCTAAAGCAGGGGTGGCGGCCGGGCTGAGAGTCCTATCTACCTGAGTCCCAGTCCCAGCCCCCTTGGAGGCCGAGTAATTTCCATGAATCCTTAGGAGTCTCTGGAAGATAGATTAAAAACCACTGATCTGGAAGGACTTCCCAGTAGATTAGCCTGCTGGCCTAGTGGGCGGACTCTCCTCGGACATGGGATTAGAAGGCATTAGGAGTTTTGATGGATGCCAACTCTTGGCCTCGTTCTTCATTGATTTAACTTAAAAATTAAGGATGCTTTTCCTTTTCTAAGCACCAGTTGCTTGCTATTTTGCTTTTTCGCCCTACATTTTGCTACTGATTTTCTTTAATTTGAGGGAAGGAATGGCAAAGAATGCATTTACATAACCATTCCTTTAAAATAAGCTAAAACAACTGAAATGTCCACTAACTAATGAGTGGATAAACACAATGTTTCCGTGGAATATTCCTTGTATGAT